AGGGGAGCCAGCCCCCCTTCTGCCCGTGATAGGCTGGAAGCCCAACCTTTCTCTTCGGGTTCCTGCCCCCATATAATTAGAGGGGTCACCAGAGCTACCAAGCCCCTGCAGGTCACTGCGGTCACCCTGTGCCAGGACATAAAAACTGGTGGCTCAAGTCCCCCACCTAGAGCAGAATCATTACCAGCATGCCCTCTGGGGCCGGAGAGCCTGAATTCAAATCCTGCCTTGGCCTCTTAACCAGCCGTATGTCCTTGAGCAGGGTGCCTTCACCTCTCTGGGCCCCAAGGTCCTCATCTGTGAAGTGGGAATATTGACAGCATCTACGAGGTGGCTTCTTTTGTGAAAACCAAATGAGTTAATATAAGTGACACGCCCGGGACATGGCTCAGAGAAAGCTCAACCCTGGGGGTCACTTGTCACCTCCCCAGCTGGAGGGGCTCTCAGCCTCTCCCCAACCTAGCCGTCTCATCCCCCCCACACCTGGCTGCACCAGCTCCCCCGAGCCCCCAGCTGCCCAAAGAGGGGACCTGCCCTCCACTCCCCAGGGTCCCTCCTCCTGACTGCGGGAGCCTCTTCTATCCACCTTCTTGGGGTCTCAGAGCTATACAATCAAAATGCCCACGGGGCGCCTGGGTGGCTCGGTTGGTTAAGCATCCGACTCTTGGTTTCGGCTCAGGTCAGGATCTCAAGGTTCACGAGTTCGAGCCCCACGTCAGGCTCTTTGCTGATGGCGCGGAGCCTGCTTGGGATTCTCTGTCTCCCTCTCTCTCTGCCCCTTCCCCGCTCACACTCTCTCTCACTCAAGAACAAATAAATAAACATTAAAAAAAAAAATGCCCAGCCCGGTCACCCCAAAGAATATGGAAGCTGTTGGTTACAGGAAGCTTTCAAAAGAGCAGCTTTCTTCCTGCCGCTCTGGGATCTACGGGATGCCCGTGTCTCCCCGGCCTGTTCTGTGACCCTCCTACGGCCACCGTCCCGGCGGCCTGCACGGTGAAACACCGCGGCCTGAGGGTCCTGCCCTCCGCCCCCCAAGCCACCGGTCAGGGCACAGAGGAGGCTCACAGGCCTCAGCCCTGCCCTGCAGTCACCCGGGGTGGCCCTACGAAACCCAGGAGGACAACAGGGGCTTCCGGGCTCTGCCACTCTCCTCTCGGGGACCGGTGGGCCCCTCCTGGGGCGTTCCGCACACGGAAGCCGGCTGTCCTCTGGGAACCCAAACTGCCAACCAGCACCCCCAAATCCGGTGCACGAGAGACCCTCCTCATGGGGCCTCTGCTTGAAGCCCGTGGGGCAGAGGCTTGTCTAAAGGGCCGGCCAGGCCAGGCCACCCAGAGCTCCAGGCTGGCCTCGGGGCATATACACTTGGGCCCGGCTGGCCACCCACCGGGCTGCCGGAGGGTGACCGTGGGCGACACGTGAGAATGAGCAACGCTGCTGTCCGTGTGAGACGGCAGACTGTGTCACTTCCCAGGGTACAACATGTGCGGAGGTCACCCTGAGTGTGTGAGCAGACCGTGGAACTCACAGATGCCGGGGACTGCTTGCCACATTCACGGCTGCCCTTGTCCAGACTCGGAGAGCTCCGCAACCATGAGTGCCCCCAGGGAGGGCACCTCCCTCCCGCGGGAAGTCCTCCAGGTGGATCCTGAAGGCCTGACGTCTCCCCTGCCAGTCAGGACCCGGAACCACTCTTTGTCTCGTGGCAGGTCAGGTGGGTAATGCCGTCCCGGGGGCCCAGATGCCCAGCCCAAGCCTCATCCTCCCGAGGCTGCCCGGGGAGGGGCAGAGGGTCCGCGGTGCCCTCCAGCCCCTCAGTGACCACAGCACCGCTTTCCGCTCACCGTGTTTGTTGGTCCCCAAGGGCAGTCCTCTCGAGGGAGGCACGCTCACGTCTAACGGGCACCGAAGACAGGGCGGTTCACGTGCTCAGGGGAGGCCAGGAAGGCCTTGAGCTTGGGCCGGGCGCTGAGGCGCGCCTCGTAGGCCGAGAGCAGGGGGAGGGAGTCCAGGCAGCCGGGGGCCAGGGGCTTGAGCAGGGTCGGAAGAGAGAGGGGCTTGGGGCGCCTGGGTGGCTCAGTCGGTGAAGCGTGCGACTTCGGCTCAGGTCATGATCTCACGGCTCATGGGTCTGAGCCCCAGGCTGGGCTCTGTGCTGACAGCTCAGAGCCTGGAGCTGCTTTGAATTCTCTGTGTCTCCCTCTCTCTCTGCCCCTCCGCCGCCCACGCTCTGTCTCTCTTTCTCTCTCAAAAATAAATAAACATTAACTCCTTTTTAAAAATTTTTAACGTTTATTTACTTTTGAGAGACTGAGAAACAGAGCATGAGCTGGGGAGGGGCAGAGCGAGAGGGAGACACAGAGTCCGACACAGCTTCCAGGCTCCGAGCTGTCATGATGCACAGAGCCCGATGTGGGGCTCGAACTCACGAACCGTGAGATCATGACTTGAGCCGAAGTCAGGCGCTTAACCAACTGAGCCACCCAGGCGCCCCAAATGTACACTTTATAAGAGTGAAACTTAAGTAGCAATAAAGCTGTTTATTTGTATTTAAAGAAATGCCAAAGACAGGTGCTGATATACACATGGGCTGAAGGTGGGGGCGTGGGCACAGGGAGGTTCCTGGCTCACTGGGAAAACTGCTCTGGGCCTCAGGGGGGGGGGGCCTCAGGGGGGGTCACAGAACTAGTCCACGGGCATTGCCTGTGGAGCCAGAGGATTATGGGTAAAAGCAGCCAGCTGGAACACCACAGAATAGAGCCCCAAGGACCTGGGGGACAGCCAGCCCAGGGGACTTGAGCGTGATGACTGGAGGGTATGAGCCGGTAGGAGGCTGGCCCGCTGGACAGGAAGGGGTCCCCCAGGCCATTGATGCCTGTCCACGAAGGGAGGGCACGCGTGCTCCAGGCCAGAGCGGGTGAATGAACCCCGGTGAACCTTGGTGTCCCCATCAGTATAATGGGAACAAGCCGCCCTCCCTCTCAAGATGTGGTGGGGATAAAATGAGACCATTTGGGGGCGCCTGGGTGGCGCAGTCGGTTAAGCGTCCGACTTCAGCCAGGTCACGATCTCATGGTCTGTGAGTTCGAGCCCCGCGTCAGGCTCTGGGCTGACGGCTCAGAGCCTGGAGGCTGTTTCCGATTCTGTGTCTCCCTCTCTCTCTGCCCCTCCCCCATTCATGCTCTGTCTCTCTCTGTCCCAAAAATAAATAAACGTTGAAAAAAAAAATTAAAAAAAAAAAAAAAAAGAGACCATTTGTATGAAAGCTCTTTGTAAGCTGCTAAGTGCTGGGCAGATGTTCCTCCAGCTGTGAGTCACGGATAGAACCCAACTCTGGCTCCACCTTCCCCAACCCCCCAGCCCCAGGCGGCTGTGGGCTCGGGCCGAGGCTAAGGGATTCTCCTGATTAGGTGCCTTTGGGTTTTTCCCCCAGGCTTTTAGATGGGTACTTCCCCAGGGGAAGGATGCCTTCCTCTGTCCTTGTGCCTGTGGCCGGAAAACCAGGCTGAGACATCTGGTTCGGTACGCTCCAGTTCCCGGGGAAGGACCACCACACCCAGTGGGCCACCCCCCAGCCCCCAGGAAGGGGCAGCCAGGTGAAGGGGGCCGGGGGTGCCAGGTGGAGGCAGGCACTGGGCTCCGCCTGGCAACACACAGCCCTCTCAGGGCCAAGAGGTCCTGCAGCTCAGTCTGTCTGTCTTTCTGTCCACCCGTATCCCCAGGTCCAGTCAGTTTTTAAAGAGTGCACAGCACTGAGACTCTGTCAAAAAATGGTTTGGAGATGACAGGGCTTTGCAAAAGAAAGGCCGAGGGTTAAAAGTGAGGCCCCTGGGGGGAAAAAAAAAGTGAGGCCCCTGAAGCTAGCCAGATCTGGGTTTAAATCCTGTTTACTAGCTGTGTGACCTTGAGGAATCGAGAAAGTCACTTAACTTCTCTGTGCTTCAGTTCGCCCTCTGTAAAATGAGGATCAGAATGATCAATCCCAAGTCCTACGGTTGTAAAATCTAGGTCAAGTTCCCAACACAGGCCTCAGCCCCTGAGGGTTTGGCACAATTATTATCTCAGAGAGAGGATGCATAAAGGGCTGTGTCTGTTGACATTGCATTCATTCATACAACAAGCATTTTTTTTTTAATGTTTAATCTTAACGGGGGGAGGGGCAGCGAGATCCAAAGCCGGCTCCAGGCTCTGAGCTGTCAGCACAGAGCCCCATGCGGGGCTAACCGGGAGGTCATGACCAGGGGGGACGTCGGACGCTTGAGGGACTGAGTCACCCAGGTGCCCCTGCAACAAGCATTTAATGAGCACCTGCTGTGTGCGGGTGCTGGGGCCCCAGCCGCTGGCTAGGTCCTCAGACCTGGCCCTCTGTGGGCCCTGAGGCGTTCTGTGTGTTTGGGTGTGGCCTGGACAGGGTAGTGGCTGTGTGATGCGAAAGTCAGTGCCCTGCAGGTAGGGTACAGCCCTGCCAAGGAGCAGGTGAGCCTGTCCGGCCTTGCCCGATCCTCACCCAGCCTTACCCAGGCCCGAACTGCGCTCAGTGACTTGGCGCATTCCTGGGTGTGGCGGGAAGGGAGGAGGGGGTGGGACAACCAGAAATACAAGGTCACTGGGCTCCTTGCCACTTCCTGCCTCTCTTTCACTTCACGGCCCGCTAGTGAGTAGGGTCTGGGCCAGGTGGGGGCCGGGGCCGAGGTTGAGTCACCCCCTTTTCCCAGGGGTCTGACCCCACCCCTGCCGCAGGCTGCTGGGAGGGGGGGTCTCCCCCAGGGGTCTGACCCCTGCCCCCCCCCCCCCCCCGCAGCTCCGTCGGGGGAGGTGGGGCCTCTTTCACCACCCTGTCTGTCTGTCTCTCCTAGTGCCGCCCTACACCGTCGTCTACTTCCCCGTCCGAGGTGCGGCCCCTGCTCCTCCAGGAGGGTGAGGGGCACCGATGGGCCAGGCTGCTCGACCTGGCCAGGGCCATGGGGGCGGGGCTGGGATGGCGGTGGCGGCCCCAGGCCTGGCCTTCCCCCGGGGCTGCATCCTCTTGGCCCCCGTCTGGCTGCGCTCTGGCCATCTGCCTCTGTCCCCACCCCGGGGCACTTCGGACTGCGGTCTGCACCCCTTGTCTCCCTCCCCAGACCGCACCGGTGCCATGATCTCCATCTTTCTCCGGGGTTCCACTTCTCAGCAGACTCCGAAGCTAGAGTTTCTGTCCTGTCGCCACACTCCTGACCCCTCCCCAGGGTGCTCTGAGGCTGGGGTCTCCCCGCATCCCCCCTACCCTGTCCTCCCCTCCCCCAGGGCGCTGCGAGGCCATGCGCATGCTGCTGGCCGACCAGGGCCAGGGCTGGAAGGAAGAGGTGGTGACCAAGAAGACCTGGCTGCAGGGCCCGCTCAAGGCCTCCTGTGTGAGTGGCTGCCGTGCCCAGAAGGGGGCCAGGGGCTGGGCAGCTGGGGGAGGGCAGCCAAGCTCCGCATCTCTGATGGAGCTGTGCCGCCCCCCCCCACCCCACCCCCAGCTGTACGGGGACTCTGCTCCCTGCCCTGGTCCGGGGACCGTGGGAGAGGGTCAGAACCCTTGGCTGCCCTTCCCCAGATGTGCAACCGTGGACAAGTGGCCAATCCTCTGTGGGCCTGTTTCCTCCTCTGATGTCCCGGTGGTCACAGAGTGCCACCCTGTTTACCCGGGAACCTCCCACATTCAGACACTTGGCAGGTCTCAAGATCCCCGTTTTACAGCGGAGAAAACAAACAGGTCAGAGCCGGAATTTGCAGGCAGGGGCCCCGAGGGGCACGCCCACCTGCTTTCCCAAACAGCCCCAGAAAATGCTCTCAAATGTGCCCTGCACACAGCTCGTTGTCAATGGAGTGGTTATTTAAAATGTTAATGTCAGGGGCGCCTGGCTGGCTCAGTCGGTTGAGTTTCCGACTTCGGCTCAGGTCATGATCTCACGGTCTGTGAGTTCGAGCCCCGCGTCGGGCTCTGTGCTGACAGCTCAGAGCCTGGAGCCTGCTTCCGATTCTGTGTCTCCCTCTCTCTGACCCTCCCCCGCTCATGCTCTGTCTCTCTCTGTCTCAAAAATAAATAAACATTAAAAAAATAATAATAAAATAAAATGTTAATGTCAGTTAAATGTTCAATATCCCAATTGGGGGCGCCTGGGTGGTGCAGTCGGTTAAGCGTCCGACTTCAGCCAGGTCACGATCTCGCGGTCCGTGAGTTCGAGCCCCGCGTCGGGCTCTGGGCTGATGGCTCAGAGCCTGGACCCTGTTTCTGATTCTGTGTCTCCCTCTCTCTCTGCCCCTCCCCCGTTCATGATCTGTCTCTCTCTGTCCCAAAAAAATAAATAAACGTTAAAAAAAAAAAAATATCCCAATTGAAATCAAGTCAAAGCCGCGGGGGGTTTTAGAAGCGAGAGCATAGGTCGTGCCCCAGCCCTGGCCTCCTCTGCTGTTTGCGTCCACGCTGCTCTTCACACGTGCGGGTTTGGGATCGGGGTGAGCGTGTGCACACGGAACGCAAACCGCCGAAGGTGTCTGGGAGGGGTTTTTGGCAATGAATCCACACTCGAGCTCGGTATCTCCCCATCGGAGGACTTTGGACAGGTGAGGGGGAAGGCTTCTCACCTCCAGATCGGACTTTTCCACGGGATCAGGAAACTCAGCCCAGGATCCTGTGGGCATGAGCTTGGCTCTTCACAAGCCTTGTTCTGAACAGCAGCAGCCAGGGGGGGAAATAAAATGAAGACATTCGGCCCGCCCATTGGCTGCGTCTGCGCCGCCGATCGGATTCTGGCTTCAGGGCGTGTCAACGGTGAAGGTGGCCATCTGGCCAGGCGCCACAGGCTCCCTCTGGGACCAGAGCTCTCTTTTCTGTGCCAGAGGCCACCAGGATGTGAATTCAGAGCCCACCCTGGCAGCGGTTATAGCTGAGAGGGCAGAGCCATGCACAGAGAACAGTGCACGAGTGCGTGTGAGAGAGACAGGGAGAGAGGGAGGCAGTTTATTTTAGGTCCCTGGTTCCAGCTCCCGGGAGGCCAGCTCCCTTCTCTCCTCCTGCTGGTTTGGGATCCACCAGTAACAAACTATCTTTTCTTCTCCACGTTTTTCTCCACGTTTTTTGTTTTTTTGTTTTTTTGTGTTTTTTTTTGGGGACAGAGAGAGACAGAGCATGAACGGGGGAGGGGCAGAGAGAGAGGGAGACACAGAATCGGAAACAGGCTCCAGGCTCTGAGCCATCAGCCCAGAGCCCGACGCAGGGCTCGAATTCACGGACCTCGAGATCGTAACCTGGCTGAAGTCGGACGCTTAACCGACTGCGCCACCCAGGCGCCCCTCAATGGCAGTTGTCTCCTCGGGTGGCTCCGCCTGCCCTTACCTAAATAACAAAAGCTCTATTTAAAACAGAGACCCCCATGCCACAGCCACGCAGCCAACGCGCTCCTGAATTTCTTTAAAAAAAATTTTTTTTTAATGTTTATTTATTTATTTTAATGTTTATTTATTTCTGAGACAGAGACAGAGCATGAGTGGGGGAAGGGCAGAGAGAGAGAGGGAGACGCAGAATCCGAAGCAGGCTCCGGGCTCCCCGAGCCGTCAGCACAACGCCCAACGCAGGACTCGAACCCACGGACCGTGAGATCGTGACCTGAGCCGAAGTCAGACGCCTAACTGACCGAGCCAGCCAGGCGCCCCCACACTCCTGAATTTCTGACTCCAGGAAACAGAGTTAATACATGCTAGTTGCTTTAAGGAGACTGAAGTTGGACGTGGCTTGTTAAGCAGCAATAGATAATTAATATCAAGTCACAACCAAGCAGCACCATATGGCCTCAGTGGGAGACAGAAAGCTTTCAAGGCTCACATTGCAAGACAGGTGCTCTGAGGTCTAACAAACTATTTTCCGGAGGTTTTCTGGTTCCTTGGCGGGGGGGGGGGGGTTGGTTCGATGTCTTCTCTGAGGCCACTCAGCCGAGGTGTGGGTCAGTGCTTGGGACAAAGGCACATCCCTCAAAACAGGAGTCTTTCCTTTGATGCCCCGGATTCCCGGAGTGAGTGTGGCTGAGCTCTGACAGTGCACATTCCACCAATTCCCCCTCCCAAAGCAGCGTGTTCGCGTTGAAGAGGCAGGAGGCTGTGGTCAAGAGAGCAGCCAGTGAGCTTAAGTTCAGGTCCCAACTCCGTCCCTTAACTGCTGTGGGATCCTCAGCTGGATACCCAAACAACATAACGCCCCTGAAACACTTAGCGCAGGGAGGCACATAGTAAGTGCTCAACGAGAGGCTGACAACAACATTTGTAAGAACCCAGCTTTGCCGATATTATCGCCAGCATTGATGTGGGAGCTACCTCAGTCTTGAGAAAGCCACACCCCTTCTTTCACCATACATTTTGTGAAAATAAGCAATTGAGCAAGAAGAAGAAAAAAAAAAGCTGGTGAGCCGATTTCTAGCGAAACTTGAAATTTGACATTTTCAGCCAAGTCATCACTTGGGCCCTGGAGTCTAGGATGAAACCAATAAATATTACCACACTACGATTTCCTCTCCAAGTTTTTCCAGGGAGGCTTTTTTAATTGCTCAGTTTTGAAAATCCACATATTATTTAAGACTCGAGAACAAAACAGGGGCGCCCGGGTGGCTCAGTAGATGAAGAGCCTGACTCTTGATTTCGGCTCAGGTCATGATCTCGCGGTTCGTGAGTTCAAGCCCCTCGTCGGGCTCTGCGCTGACAGCTCGGAGCCCGCTTGGGGTTCTCTCCCTCTCTCTCTCTCTCTCTCTCTCTTTCTCTCAAAATAAATAAACATTGAAAAAAAAGATTTAGGAGCGCCTGGGTAACTCAGTCGGTTAAGCGACCGACTTCAACTCAGGTCATGATCTTGCGGTTTGTGAGTTCAAGCCCCGTGTCGGGTTCTGTGCTGACAGCTCGGAGCCTGGAGCCTGCTTCGGATTCTGTGTCTCCTTCTCTCTCTCTGCCCCTCTCCCATTCACGCTCTGTCTCTCTCTGTCTCTCAATAATAAATAAACATTAAAAAATTTTTTTAAAAAGGTTTATATCTATCTCTATGTATAACTATAGATTTACATATATATGTATATATAAAGATCTATTTATATCTGTGTATTATGTATGTATCGATCTATAAACAGATTTGTCATAATGAATCAGCTCACATGATTCTGGAGGCTGAGAAGTCCCCAGTCTGCCATCTGCAGGCTGGAGCCCCGGGAGAGTCGTGGTGTGGTTTGAGGGCTGACAGCCAGAGAGCCAAGGTAGATTCCAGTCCAGTCTGAAGGCCTGAGAACCGGGAGGGCTGAGGATAGGATATAGGAGAAGACCGATATCCCGGCTCCACAATCAGGCAGAGAGCGAATTCAACCTTCCTCTGCCTTTTTGTTTTATTTAGGCCCTCAACAGGTTAGATGAGGCCCACCCACACCCGGGAGGGCCATCTGCTTTGCTCTGTCCACCCATTCAAATGCTGATCTCTTTGGGGAACGCTCTCATGGACATACCCAGGAAGAATGTTTAACCAGTAACCTGGACATCCGTTGGTCCAGTCAAGTTGACCTGTAAAATTAAGTGTCACTAATTGCTTTGAAGTTTTCCCTTTTGGGTAAAAGACACAGTCCATATTGTTTTGTTTTTGTTTTTGTTTTGCCTCTGAGCCCTCCGTGATGGTCCTTCTAGATCTGTATCACACTTCTCATGCTTCAACCGCGAGGGACAGCTGTCCGTCCTCACGCTCGCCATTTCTGCCTCTCCCTCTTTCCTCAGTGGCCGAAGTCCTTCCAGGGCTGCCCTCTGATCTGGGCCACTCCCCTGCCTTCCTGTGAGGGGTGAGGCAGCCTGGGACTGGCCTGAGCCGCTTTGAAGTGAGAGGCTCCCCCGCTGGGCATTCACTGGGGTCAAGGTGGGAATGCGCTGAACAGGAGCGGTCACTTTGCACAACTGATAGTTGGTACCATTTCTCAGCTGGCCCCGTTTCTCCCCCTCTACGCGTCCAAAGCACTGTCTGGGCCTCCAGGTTTCCGGGGCACGTTTGATTTTGTGCTAGAATGCTGGCTTATTATGACTAGAAACCTTTAGAGAGAACGGTGTTAGAATAACACCTTTAGAATAACTGTGTTATTCTTTTTCTTTCCTACCTTTATTTATTTACTTTATTTTATTTGAGAGAGAGAGAGAGAGAGAGAGAGGGAGAATCTTAAGCAGGTTCCACATTCAGCACAGAGCCTGATGCAGGGCTCAATCCCACCACCCTGGGATCATGACCTGAGCCCAAATCAAGAGTCAGACGCTCAACCGACTGAGCCATCCAGGTACCCCTGTTCCCACTTTTTTTTTTTTAACGTTTCTTTTTTTTTTTATTATTGAGAGACAGAGAGAGACAGAGCATGAGCAGGGGAGGGGCAGAGAGAGAGGGAGACACAGAATCCGAAGCAGGCTCCAGGCTCCGAGCTGTCAGCACAGAGCCCGATGCAGGGCTCGAACTCACAAACTGCAAGATCGTGACCTGAGCCGAGGTCGGGACCCACCTTTTAATTGAGACTCAACTTACAGCAGCTCGTTCGATGTTTACACCTGGGAACGGGTCCAGCCCTGCTTCCCAAAGGAAAGACTCCCTCTCTGCTGTGCCACTGGATGCAACCACATTTGCTGTTCGCTGTATACCAAACTACCCCAACAAATAGTGGCTTAAAATAGCTCACATGTCAGGGCGCCTGGGTGGCTCTGTGGGTTAAGAGTCCGACTCTTGATTTCGGCTCAGGTCATGATCTCGGGGTCGTGAGACTGAGCGCCACATCGGGCTCTGCACTGACAGTGTGGAGTCTGCTTGGGGTTTTCTCTCTCCCTCTCCATCTGCCCCCTCCCACTCGTGCTGGCTCACGCGCGCTCTCCCTCTCTCTCTCAAAAAGAAAATAATAATAATAACTGACATTTCTTATTTCTCCCAGTTATGTGACCTGGCCTGGTGGCTATTCTGGTCTGGGCCAACTCCACTGGGGCCTGGTGGTCTAGATGGCCCTCCCTTCCACATGTCCCACGGATGGAGACAGCAGGGATGACTTTCTAGATGATCTCTTGTTTTCTGGGAGGCCAGCCCAAGCTTGATTGTGCAGCGGCAGAAGGTTTTTCCAGCGGCAGGCAAGCACCAGCCTCAATGCACAAGGGGCCCCTGTCACACTCGCTGACATCCCATTGACCAGGGCAAGCCACGTGGCCAGGCCCGGACTCAGGAGGCAGAGAACTCCCTTACCCCCTGATGGGACAATCACCAAATGCCCACCGCAGGGGGGCAGGTGTAGGAAAAGGGGAAGAACTTGTAGTCAGTTTGCAATTAGTCCGCTGATGTTCTCGAGGGAAGGGAATGATCACAGGCAGAAGGCTAGAGATACAAGCAAGTAAGCAAAGAGGTAAGTATGTTGGTGGGTTTTAGGGAAACCCTGAATGAACAGGAACGGATTTGCCATAGACACTAGTAGTGAAGAAAAACGGGATGATATACCCAGCCAACCCAAAAGAAGGCAAGAAAGAAAAGAAACAGGACAGACAGGGCAAATAGCAAAAAGCAACCCGGATTGAAACCCAAATCTGTAATAGCAATTCTGCTCTATGTGAAGAGATGACCCGCACAAATATGCCCGATGGATTTTTTTTTTTTTTCTTTCAAAGATGCGAAAGCATTTATTCAGTGGAGGAAAGAGGCTTTGCAGCTAGTGCTGGGACAGTTAAACTGCCATCGGCCAGCACATGGGAGAAAATGTTCAGCATCTGGGCAAGGTTAAGGTTTCTCAGGTGTGATTCTAAAAGCATGACCCGTAAAAGGAAAAACTGGTAAATCAGACCTCATACACATGAAAAAGTGTGCTCTGCCAAATGCCCTATGAAGAGCATGAAAAGACTAGTTATGGGTGGAAGAAAATATTTGCCAACCACCTACCCAGAGAGAGACTGGTCCCTGGGACGTACAACAGCCTCTTCAAATTCAACAGTTAAAAAAAACCAAAACCAAAACCAAAAAACACCGAGCAATTCTGTTTTGAAAATGGGTGAAAGACATGGAGGGACACAAGGACTACAACTCAGCAATAAGAAGGAGTAAACCATTGATGTAGATAGAGCAACCCGGATGAATCTAGAACAGTGTGCTGAGTTTAAAAAAAAAAAAAAAAAAAAAGCTAATCCCAAAAGGTTACATACTGTTTGATTCCATTTATATAACATTCCTGACATGATCAAATTATAGAAATGGAGAACAGATTAAGGGTGGCCAGAGATTAAGGACAGGAGCAGGAGGTGGAGGGAGGGAAGTCGGTGTGGTTATAAAAGGCTGACATGAGGGATCCTTGGGTGACAGAACTGCTGAGTGTCTTGACCGTGGTGGTGAACACATGAGCTTACACAGATGACCACATTGTACAGAACTAGACACACACACACACACACACACACACACACACACAGAGGTCCCACTATAACCCCCCAGGAATCTGAGCAAGATGGATAGATTGTATGTATCAATGTCAATATCCCGGGTATAACATTGAACTGGAGTTTTGCAAGATGTTGTCTTGAAAGAAAAGTTCAGGTAAAAAAATACATAAATAAATAGATTTACATATTCTAATTAAAAAAACAAAGGACATCAGACCACAGTTAATTTTTCCATTGCCCTGTTGGTGGACACTTGGGTTGTCTCCAGTTTGGGCCCATTATGAGTAAGGAATTGGCTTGTGTGATTGAGAAAGCTTGGTAAATCTAACATCTACAGTGTAGGGTGGCAGGCTGAAGACCCAGGGAAGAGGTGATGCTGCGGTTCGAGTCAGAAGGCAGTTTGCCAACAGAGTTCCCTCTTTCTTGAGTCTTTTTTTAAAGGCCTTCAACTGATTAGATGAGGCCCACCTATATTACGGAGGGCAATCTCGCAGTCTATTGATTAAATGTTACTCTAAAAATACCTTCACAGGAACATCTAGAATAATGTTTGACCAAATATCTGTGTACTGTGGCCTCTTCAAAGGGACACAGAAAATTAACGTCACAAGTACATGTACGTAGGACTGGAGCTTTAGTAGATAACGCAGTTTTCCAGCGTGGTGGAGCCATTTTCACACTCCCGCCAACAGTGCATGAAAACTCCAACTGCTCTGTAGCCTCGTCAACACTTGGAATTGTCAGTGCTTCCGATTTTTCTAATGGGTGCATGGTGGTGATCTAATGGGTGTTGTGGATTGAATTTGCATCTCCCTGATTGCTCAGGATGCTGAGCGCTTTTCACACGCTGAAATGTTGTATAGAAAATATTGCATATAAAATGTTGCCACACAAAAGACCTTAAGACGGCAAGTACTTTTTTTGCACTGAGGGTTTGGCTGTGAAATATGTCCACAGGTAGGCCAATATAGTACGTTCCTTTTTCAAACCAAAGTCTTTAAATATTTACTCAACGTGTATTTGGTTTGGCTGATCAGACGCTACTTTTTTTTTTTTTTTTTTTTTCAGATTGTTTACAGAAATAGATTCGCTTTTGGAGGCTGAAAATAAAAATCCTCCTAACCATTTCCGACGTCTCTGTGGTTCTCAGTATGGCTATTAACTAGTTCAGCTGAGGTTACAAAGTCTCCAAGGAACAGCAGCAGGGACAAGCTGGATCTTTTTCCGCTCAGCTGAGAGTCCAGCGTCCTCTGGCCAGGGCTGGCGTGCGCTCTCCATGGTGTTGGGGACCCTAGCCCCTTCCGGCTGTCTCTGTCACTCTGAGGGTGCTGTCCTCTCCCCTCCGGGATCCAGCCAGGGAAAGGGAGTTCTCTGAACCCTACCCGCTGGGGAGGCATATGCTAAGGTTTACAATGTAGATGATCAAATCAGTCATTTGTTGCCAACACACAGCATGACTCCGTGCAGGGCTTGGAATTTCTGACTGTCAATTGACAATGACTTCTAGTGAATATGCCTTGCAAGAGCTCTTGGCAGAGAGAGGCCGGTGTTAAATCAAGAAGTTCTTTTTTTCTCTCCCTTGAGTGCTTCGGTGGGTGGGGTCAGTTGCATTTAGCCAGTTACTTAGACGGGGAGGGAAGCTGGCCGCCTGTAACCGGTTGATTCCGATTGTTTCCTACGCTGGCCCCTAGGGAAGGTGTCTCTCCCCTGGCCCCCATTCCTGTTACCCAGACCGCTCCCCAAAGAAGCGGCCACACACAAGCCCTGGTCTCAGGCTCTGCCTTCTGCGGAGACCCAGCCTAAGACAGCAAGGGTAGTCATAGTAATAATTTTTGTGAGTTTTTCTGACATGGAGAAGGGGAGGAAGGATGTGATACACTTACTATTCTTGTGAACATTTGCCGTCTTTCAGTGCCCAGGGAGGTAGATGGACAGCAAGCTCCATGAGCACAGGGACTTTGTCTTGTTCCCTGCTGAGTCCCCGGCACCTTGAACAGCACCTGGCACTTAGGCACTCAAGAAAAATCTGTTGAAGGAAGCAGCATCTAGCTGTTCCTGGAACCATCTTCCGGTGGGTGGCGCTCAGCAAGGTTTCTTCCCCCGGGGACGCGTGGTCCTGGCTGCTGCACTCCCTGGTTTCTCCTCGGAAGGCACCAGAACCTTGGGATCTAGTGTGGGAGCAGCCAGAACTGGGCCCTAAAGAAGTGTGCCCCGTGGCTCCCAGGACCCCCACGTAACAGGTCTCTGGCTGTGGGTCCGAGGGTGCGAGGGAAAAACTTCTTCTGGGCCCGAGTCCTGACCCTAGCTTCTCCTGCACTGAGCTGGACCTCATCAGGCCCCCGGTAGGTGGAGGGACAGCTCAGGTGGGGCTCACTCCCTTGAGCCAGACTCAGGAAGC